GCTGGTCGATGAGAAAATGAACATGAGCCGGCTTCAGTGTGTGCTTGCAGCCCAGAAAGCCAACTGTATAGTGGGCTGCATCAAAAGGAGTATGACCAGCAGGTCGAAGGAGGTGATCCTGCCCCTTTATTCTGCTCTTGTGAGACCTCACTTGGAGTACTGTGTGCAGTTCTGGTGTCCTCAACATAAAAAGGACATGGAACTGTTGGAACAAGTCCAGAGGAGGGCCACGAGGATGATCAGGGGACTGGAGCACCTCCCATATGAAGATAGGCTGAGAAAGTTTGGGCTGTTCAGCCTGGAGAAGAGAAGGCTGTGTGGAGACCTCATAGCAGCCTTCCAGTGTCTGAAGGGGGCCTATAGGGATGCTGGGGATGGACTCTTCATTAGGGACTGTAGTGATAGGACAAGGGGTAATGGGTTAAAACTTAAACAGGGGAAGTTTAGATTGGATATAAGGAGGAAATTCTTTCCTGTTAGGGTGGTGAGGCACTGGAATAGGTTGCCCAGGGAGGTTGTGAATGCTTCATCCCTGGCTGTGTTCAAGGCCAGGTTGGACGAGGCCTTGGGTAATATGGTTTAGAGCGAGGTGTCCCTGCCCCTGGCAGGGGGGTTGGAACTAGATGATCTTAAGGTCCTTTCCAACCCTAACTATTCTGATTCTATGATTCTATATACTGTTATGTATGTCATATATATATTGTTAGGATGAGTCCAGAGGAAGCCATGAAGATGATCAGTGGCTGGAACAGAGTCTCCTATGAAGACAGGCTTAAGAGAGTTGGGCTTTTTCAGCCTGGGAAAGAGAAGGCTCTGGGGAAACCTTAGAGCAGCTTCCAGTGCTTAAAGGGGGTCTACAAGAAACCTGGAGAGGGACTATTTACAAGAGTATGTAGTAACAGGAGAAGAAATAATGGCTTCAGGCTGAAAGAAGGTAGATTTAGATTAGATATTAGGAAAAAATTACTCATTGTGGGGTTGGTGAGACACTGGCACAAGCTGCTCAGAGAAGTCGTGGCTGCCACATCCCTGGCAGCGTTCAAAGCCAGGCTGGACAAGGTTTGGCGCAACCTGGTCTAGAGGAACGTGTCCCTGCCCACAACAGGGAGTTGGAACTGGATGATCTTTAAGGTCCTTTCCAACCCAAACCATTCTGTGTTTCTGTAATTATTTAGAAGATGAGTTTTTCTTCTCTTAATTAGTTAGGGTTGCAGAGTTCATTTATCTCCACAGCATAAATAAAACTCTTACTGTATTTCATGCTTCAGAACAGAGGGACATTACTGAACTGACATAAAGCAAATTCAAATTTCTTTTGTAATTCTACTTGTGGTGCTGAGTAATCATGGTTTTATAGAACATTTCTTCTCTTTTTCTTCTTTTTACATTTGGATGTTTCACTGTTGTGGGTTTGGGGGGGGGTTGTTTTTTGTTTGGGTTTGGTTGTGTTGTTTTTTTTTATTAGCAGTGTTGCATGTATGAAGTCACTTCTAAGTGCACAGAAGAAAGGTGTAAACATTTGAATACAGATCCAAAATGGAGATCCTTATTAGAACAGAATTGGAGGAACAAAATAAAACCACAGTACTAAAACAGAGATTCCCAGGCTTACTCTGCAGAAGCTCAGTCACTGGCATTGATTACTGAAGGACTGTTGGTGCCAGTGGTGTTAATTTCTCTGGTTTTATTGGCATCTGTGAGAGCAAGGCCTCTAGCCTATGTTCACCAACCTGTTAAACACATCTGAAACCAGGACCCCAGGCCTGGTTTGCTTACTGGTTTATCACCTACTTCACTCCATCCTATTCTCTTATATCAGAATCTACTCTTGTACAGCAGGCCCACTTCAAAAATCACTCTCAAAACAGTACCTGCTTGAAAGATGTTGAAAGTGAAATGAAAGTGTGACACAGTACTTCTCTAATGTGCTGTGCTTAGGAATAATGTTCAACAAGGAACTGGTCCCCCAAACCCATCTGCAGATAAATAATCCTATCAAAGGCAGTTGAGTGCATTTGATTAAGGATTGCAAGTGATTAGTGGTCTGCAAGCTTAAGAGTACAACCTGTACCATTAATGAGTATTCACATATTAATGCTGCTTTGAGAGGAGGTTGAACTAGATGACCTCTGAGGTCTGTTCCAACTGGAATAATTTCATTATTATCACACTTGTATTATTCAGATAGACATTTCATTTGTTAAAAACATATTAATTGAATAAACTAAGCTCTGGCAAGTCACAATTATTTTACCTATTGCATCATGTTGTATCATGGAGTTGCAAATTTGACCCAAGTTTAACACTTAAAACAGTAAGAGAAATACACCCATGCCCTTTTGTCTAATGCTTTGAATTCCTTGTATACAGTTTTGTATCAGATTTAATTCCTTGTAAAATAATTCCTTCCTAGCACACAGTTGACATGGTTCCAGATCTGGAAGTAGTCCAGAGTTGAGTGCCTGAATATTTGATGCTTTATGTGCAGTTAAAACTGTGTGAATGGACTTCAGCTTACTCTGACTAATTCATGTACTGCTAGCACTGAGACCACAGTAACAAAAGCATCAGTGCAGGTTAGCAGTCTAAGAAAGGCTTGTAGCCCTAAGAACTTTCCAAAGCAAGGACTTTGAATATGAGAGGGCATTCTTACATTAAAAAAACAACCAAACCCACCACCATCTCCAAATAACCCCAACACAACCCCCCAGTGTTAGAATGTACTGCGTAGATTCTAAATATATGTAGATGTTGAGACACAACTGGTTGAGTTTAATAAATGACATGTTAGGTGACTATTAAGATGAACAGTCTTTATCATTATTTAAGAAATTGTATTTTGATTAACAGTAGTATCACTCTTCTCATTAAGATGTGCAGGGAATTCATATGGATTTCCTTCCTGTGTAACGGGATGTAGCTGTTGTCATGTCTTATTGGTAGCAGCATGTTTCAGGGTAGTACTTGGGTTTTGTACACTTTTATATAAGAAGAAAAGGAGGATGGTAACATAGCAAGTAATGTGTAAGGGCTTACAGACTTTTACGGAGTATAGAAAGCAACTAAAAGGAGTAAGACGCACCGAGAGAGAGCAGAGTTACTTCTTTAGGCTGTTCTTCACTATGGAGATGTGGATTTTATTCTTTCTAAATAATGTTGACGGGACATCACCTGACTATTGGATTACAGAATCAAAAGGTTGAATGTTAGAATAAGGTGCTAAAGAACCCTAAGTTATAAGTACTTGATGTGATTCATTCATTCAGTGGTTCTGAAGGGTGAAGTGGCTGATCTGCTAACAGGAATGCATCTTGTTAGGATGAGGTGTTGTGCCAGAAGTCTGGAAGCTATCAGGTGTTGTACATACTGTACTTTTGAACACAAAGAGCAGATCTGGAATTTGCAGACCAAGGACTCATATTTTAATGCCACATAAGTAGATTTGAATACTAAATCGATAGTCAAGTAGTTCTGTGAGAAAAAGTGCCTCATTTTCTATGTAGTATCTTAGAGGAAATGAAAACTACCTGCTGCAGCAGGGGTACTTACAAGGTGTCTCTCTTAGGTATTTGTTCTCTAATAACATGGACATATGCTGCAGCCTCTGCTTCAGTTTGGGGGTCGGTCTTCTCTATCCACCTGCCAGTACTTGGAATTCTGAAATCTCTCAATTCTTATTAAACTGTAAATGACTTGTGAATTCTCATCTCTGACAAAACTGTCAGAAGTCAGGTAGTGGGTTCAAATATTAGGAAGGGTCAGGCATAACCTAGGGAGATACATTAAAAAGCAGTAATCTCTTCTGACTTTAGCAGGCTAAACAGTGATCTAAATTGCTTCTTTTGTTAGTGGAAGAGAGATACACACTCACATATATATTTATGTACTTGCGTGCCATATGTAGTTCATCCCACCTTCTTAAATTTACAACGTATGGCTTCTGGCAGGAAACTGTCTCTGTAACCCAAGCAATTCTAGTGTGGCCTTACAAGCCTGTGCAATTGCAAGCATAGTGAACTGTGATGCAGAGATGGAAAGGAAAGTTAAAATAGTCCAAGAATACCCTATACTGCTTTCAGTGGCAAAGCTGTCCTCTATCTCATAATTTACACTTAGGTGACAACAGTAGTTCCTGAAGTGCTGAGATTTGTAGCTGCAACTAGCTATGTGCTTGTTTCCTTATTCTCCCTCCTGTTGTATTAGCATAGTCATTTGTGTTGTAATGCAGTGACCTGGATCAGAAAATTGATCCAGGCTTCAAGAGTCTATTGCAAGAAGCAATTTTTAACCAAAGTTAGTCCCCTAATGTGGCGAAAAAATAGTGAGTGGCTCTACCAACAGATACATCTGCACAAATGAGGTTGTGGCACAGACATGACAATAAGCAGCAGGAGGGTTATCTCTGTTTGAACTGGTACTTTTACCAAAATAGATGTTCATCAAATTATGTCTAGAATCTGTTTTGGAAGCGGTTAGTCTTGTCTGCAAATAAGCATCCAAAGTAAAATACTGTATATGTTCTATAAAATCAGAGAAAGTTGTGGGGATCTTGAGGGCTGAATATATTAGTAAATAATGGTAGATGTCATTCAGTATTTGTGGTTATAAAATAATTCACACTGGAAGGAATAACTTGAATTACTTAAAGTTAATTTAAAATTACAAGTAAATCATCTGCAACAATACACGTATGATTACGCGAAAACTTATTTGCTGTGTTCCCACTGTACAAGAAATAGGCCTAAAATTTGTTGAAAGTGTGCTTTATAGTAGTATTTATGTAGAAGCTCTTTATCTGGGCATTTCTTCTCAAATGAACTATGTTTCTGGAATGTCCATCTGGTTTAGTTAAGTCATTTACACTTACTTTATCAATCAGTGCATATACATATCCTTTGTGTGTTTTTAAATGTTATGGATACATAACAAGTTCTTGAAAACTAAGTGTAGTTTTTTCAGGAAGTTTACAAAAACAAAGCCACTGTATTTCTTGCTTTCAGTTCAATCTCCTCAAATAAATTGGAATTTTTTAATAATGGCAATACATTCATTCTGCCATTTGGAGGAGCCTGTGCCACAGAATAATGATCTGAAGAAAGCTCACTTATTTGCAAAGAAGAGTCTTCATTTGGGAAGTAGTTCCGATGCAGCTAAGAGGTGCTTTGTCAAGTTCAGGTTAGTGCTTTGTTTTGTTTTGGTTTTATTACACTTATTTGGTTTGGTAGGCTGGCATTTCATTTAAATTAGCTTACATGCAGTGTCATGTCAGAGCCTGACAGCCTTTGTGTTGGTCATTTGACATATAAAGATCTTGAACTGAAAAGGCACATGCAGTGGCATGTGCACTTACAAAATGTGTGGAGGGGAATTGTCTGAAAAATTATTTTAGCACAGTTTATCATGTGTGGAGTAGTTCAGGATGGAGATTATGATGATCGTAATGCCATGATTCCCTTTTGCTACAAGTTCTTTTTCAGAGTTTTCTTATGTGTTTATTTTCTGAATTCAGTATTCTGCTAAGCCAGAGTTGCTGTTTTGAATGTAAGTGTTAATTATTAAGTCTCAAATCATTCAGGGGAAATAAAAAGGAAGCCATAGTCAAGTTTTCACACCTAAAATACCTTCAAAATTTTCCACTTCAAAAAAAATCCGGGTTTTAATGTTCTGTGTGTCAGAATTTTTTTCTAAAATGGATCCTCAAATCTTGGCATGCTAACTCTGGATGAGGATTTAATTTTAGATGAATGGTTACTGTAAGTTGTGCGGTTTTGTTTGTTCATTTTTTTCTAGACATCCAATTATTTTTATAACATGACTTCCCAGCAGTAGTTGCTTTATACTCATATTCTGCATAAGAACTGTTTGCAGTGTACAAGTGATGATACAGAAAAAAAAAAGAAACCCATAAACCAAAAAATCCTAAACCCCCACAATTGAATTGCTTCTTATCAGAAAGGCAGAGTAGAGTTTGTCAGCCTTTACAGTGGTGCACACAGATCTAGAACCTTTTTATGATATCTGTCTACTTTGTTGCTAAATTACTAGATCACTTGTATATATAAAAATATCTCTCTATAGATGTATATATTATCTGAGAAGCTTTTACAATACCATTTGTGTTGCTAAAAGTCCTACAGAATGAAAAGTACTGGATTTTTCAAATTTGATACTGTTGTATCTTTTGTGTCCAGAGGCTCCTGTTCTGCCTGGTTTTGTGCACTTGCTTAGTTTCTTAGCAATGCCACTAACTTCTTATCAATGCTATCCTGGTACAGTAAAGATGCTGAAGAACTTCAGTGAAGTAGAAAGAACTGTACTAGTTTAGTGTAGGCCTCTAGTCCCCTTATACTTAGAGAAAACATGAAGATACTGGTTTAAATCTCTACAAACATAACGGACAATTGAAGTTCAGAAACTAGTTAAGAAAAGCTTTTGAACTATTAGAGTCCTCCAAACATGGACAACACGAGTGAAAAAGAGGCTATTCCTTCAATGAAATTCTAAAACTTGAAGTGCATTTCAATGAAATCATCAGACAAGAGAATTAATTTTGGATATACTTCTTAAATGTTCTGGGTTTATTTTGCAGTATGAATGCTATGTGTTCACCAGATACCAATTTTAAAATATTTTTTATAAATGCTACAGAATTATAAAAACTGAGGGCTTCGATACATCTGACTTTATTTTTAATACATTTGAAGAACAATTTTCTCAAGCATATTAGGTTTTCCTGTTGGTGAGAATGTATTCTAGCTGTACATGAAGTCAAACTTTTACTGAACATGGTTCCATAGAAGCCAAAGTGGATAAGAGTAAAACATAAAACAAATTCAGGATTATTCAGTAATAGTGCTTATGATGTCAATACGGATATTGAGAGCAGTGAGTGTATTTTTCTTTTGAATCTTTCAGCAGAACTATTATTGTTCCTAGTAGAACCTCCTGTTTGTGGTCAAAATTGGGGTTTCCTCAAAGAGAGTCCTGTATCTGAAGGGTGAGAAGGTAAGGTATTTGAGATTATATTATTCCAGCAAACAGTTAAAAGGAATTTCAATTACTTTTAACGTACACAAATATACAAAAATACTTGATTTATCATGCATCAAGAAGTCTCAAGTTGTTTATATCAGTTTCTGTTTGTTGTTTTTTTCCTTTTTATCTCATGGGTGGAATTTCTGAAAATATTCAGCTCTGCTTTATAAATGTGTTTTCCATGAAATCAGTGAGCTGACCTGAGTGGGAATAAAGGTTGGTTTATCTTTAGTGAGACAAAGTTAAGTCATCACTAAGTGGTTTTGAAATCTCATCCTTGAAACACTAGGTCTTTGACATTCAGTGGGATGAGAATCTCAGAACAGACTGACTACTGGGGACTCCCAAGCTACAGTTCAGGTAAATAACTTCTTTGGAGGAGGAACTTAAAGGTTTCTTCTTTTGAAAATTATGATAATTAAGTACCAAAGGGTGCAATTTAAACTATAAATATTTTTGACTTAACATTTACATTTAAAATAGATATGCCTACGTTTGTGAGAGGTTTTGTTAGTTACAGTTCAAGCATTATATAGTCATCTAACATTTCAGCAGTCCTGTTTCTAAAGAGGACTTTTTCACTGGCACAGAACACGAATCTCTAGTTCTATTCCCAGACACATTTTATCTTGTTTTCCAACATGTAGCTGTGAGTGCATAGCTAGTTCAGCTACTGCAGTTCCCATTTTGCAGAAGCAAAAAGATGTCTTTTGGTAATGCATGCATAATTTAGAAGTAACAGCTTCTATATTGGAATAAGTGTTAGGGGCTCTGTTCTGATCATGGGATTAACTTGATTCGTTCCCTGTTCCAGCTGGTCCCCACTTTCTCTAGGGAAAGGGTAGCTCAGTTTGTGTTGCAACAGCTCAGTATAGTTTGTAACCTTAAGCCTTGCAGTCACCTGGAACAGGTGCTTCTGTACTTTATTTCTGATCTCAGAAAGCACAGTGGTGCAGCGGGTACCTCTGCCTCAGTAGTGGAAGCAGGAAACTTGGAGAAGAACAGGGTATGCAATAGGAACAGGAGCCATTACAGCCACCTCCAGTAATCTGTCCTAGTTTATCACCCAGTTTCCTCTTTGACTCTCTGTTTTGGGGAAGAGGGGGAGAAAAAGTGGAAAACAGTTCTGTAATTGGTACTAAAAGAGCAAGAATTTTTTTCTGTTTAAAAAACAAGTTTGCTTCTGCATGATAGTGTTCCAAAGAGAAAACATTAAAGCTTTGGGGATTTTTATTTTTATTTTTAATAGATTTTTAAGGGCTTGCCTAATTTCAATTATAGACTTACTTTTTTGCCTTCTTCAGAAACAGAAAGATAATGTAAAGGGTCAGGATTTTGAGATCAAGAATAAAAATTGAGAGTAGTTTAACAGAACAGATTACAACAAATCAGAGATACATGTCTTATGTTTAAAAAATATTCAACTTCAGTGAACCATTAACATCAATGAGGTGGTATGAGGTTTCTATTTTCAGTTCTATAGACAATGCAGACTGTGAGAGGAATAGGTGCATCTGAAGTAGATTATCTGGTTTAAGAAAATAAGCAACTATTCCTGCCAAGCAATTGGTTAAACAAAACTATTAAAATACAAGTATTTTCATAGTAGCTCTCTAATTAATTTAAGTAATTAATGGAAGAAATATCACGTGCTTGTAGTAAGCTGCATGTTTCTTCAGGGGTGGCAAAAAGTACAGATATTTTTTCTTGTCCTTGACAATTCAGTAATCCTGTAATTCTTGTCACGGGTATACTAAACACCTGGGGGTGAATTTCTGCACCTCTTCAATTTGTAAGGTCATAAAATCTGAGCAACAGTTACTAAGAGTTCTTGATAGTTGAAAGAAATCACGTAGACAGCACATTCAGTCTTATAGAAATGATGTATTTTAAGAGACAGACTGTATCACTGTAGATAAGGATGTGCCATTAGCACTGAAAAGTAGAAGCATAGTATCTGAGCAATATAGAAACTGTGCACATACCTCTTTTTGTGCCAAATACATTGATATGTTAGTATTACAGAATATATTTGTTCCATTCCTCTTGGAACACAATTAGCTTCCTCTCCTTTGTCTCAGAGAGGCGTCTCTTACCTTGTTCTTGGGACTTCTGATCCAAGAGATCTCTGTCTGAGAGGAAGCTTGTTGGCTGTGAGAACTGATATATAGCTTACCTTAGGGCTTAACAATGATAGCAGGACTGGATACCACCCGACAACTATGCCAGTTTTGGTTCCCGCCATTATGACATTCTTTTGAGAGCAGGCCCAAAAATTTGTCATCTGGATCATCAACATCCAACTTCAGTACTCTTGTCTTGGATCCCACCGTTTTAATGTGGTCATATTGAGCTGGTTGGTTATAATCTTGAAGGGAGAAACTCTTCTGCCTTATCTGCAGTAAGGCTATGGGAGTTTCAGGGTCTTCCAAGAGAGGATCTCATTCCTGACATGCTCACCAAGAAGAGGCGATAAAGCCTGTGTAGTGCCTTGAAAATTAACTTTTTTTATCCTACTGTGGATGGGTAATTGTGTATGTTATGGAATACCATCTTAGGGGGTACAAATACTATACTTGGTATCAAATGAGGGCTCCGATCAGTGCATCAGAGATGGATAGTCGGTGACCTGAATTTCATTTTATGCAGCACGGTGAATACACCAGTACTTTAGAGACATGGTTTTGGTTCATATTCTTAATGAACCAAAACCAGTTTATCAAGGCAGCAAAAAAAAAAAAAAAAAATCTACCATTGCTTGTGGACATAGATGGAAAAATATCTTTTACTGGTTTTTGTTCATATTCTGAATGAAACACATACAGTTCACCTTTGATAAGCAAGTTATTATTGTAGATATTTTACTTTATCCAAAGATTTCTGGGAGCCAGACTCTTATTTTCAGGGGAGACAGATGGGGAGACAAAAGCAAGCATACATGCATTTGTCTTGAATCTGGTTTGGAAGCTACTGTAAAACGTAAGTAAGGAGGAAAATGCATTCTTGTTTTACCAGGTGATTCTGGTATCTCAACTCAGTTGTCTTGAGGATACTATTCATAGTATCTTAACAGGAACACACTGGTTAAAACACTGTAATTTTTTAGCTCTTTTTGCCTTTAAGAACCACCTGGGGAAGTAACTGAAGTTTGTTCCTGAAGAAGCAAAAACGTTGGGATTTTTTTAACAGTGTAGCCTGAATTTGCAGATGCTGTTTGAAACAACCAGATAAAGTATAGAAAGTTGTGTGTGTATATGTGTGTATATATATATATACACACATATATTTATAGGGGTTTTATCTATAGTTATAGGCTATATATATCTATATACATAGAGAACTATCTATATATATAGATAGTTACAGAATAGTACTGCCACCACTATAGTGGTGGAAGTACAGTTGTGCAGCTGAACTAAAGGGACTTTGCTGGATAACTACTTGCCTGTTACTGTCATTGGCAAGTCAGAGATAATTTCCAAAGCTGTAGTCTGGCTGAGGAGGAGTATTTGCTTTTATGTGGATGTTCCAAGCCAAAACACACACTTTGTTTTACCAGTGTTTTCACTAAGATCCAAAATCCAGCATTGTTGCTGAAAAGGAAAAAAAAAGTTATTTTTAAAACAAAAAGTGTTATGAAAAGAGCAGTGACACCTGAGTGACGCACAGAAAACTTGTCAGCTGAACTCCTGACAGAATCTGGCAGAAATTCAAAGTCTGGTTTGTCTCTAGTAATTCCATTAACATTTCAAAGGTGGGTGATGTTCTGGGAATTTCACAGAAGGGATTATTTTTTAAGTGAAGAATTAGTGCTTTAAAGCTTTGCCTGTGCTAGGAATATTGCTGCTATCTTGCAATAGGTAAATGGATTATATCTGAGACACCAAGTTCTCTATCAGTTGTTTTGCTACTTTATCTGTACTGGCATAATTAAGGTATCAGCCATCTTTCACCACAGTGTGAATAGAGCTGTATCAGTATAAAACTGCATATATTGGTAGCTTATTTCTGCACAGAAGGGAACATCCTAGGGCTGGCCCCATTCCAGAAATTAATTGTATTGCAGTTGCTATGCTTGTATAAACTGTTTGTATTGGAGACCTTATACCAGAAGAAAGTGACTTTGTTCTAGTTTATTTGCCTTTATCCTTAGAGCCCCATAAAAAGTCACAGCATTTCAGTTTCATAGGTTCACTTTGTGAGCAAACTTGCCCTTTACACGGACTTACCTCCATCTGTGCTACAGGCTAGAAACCATGGGTGTTTTGACAATAAAAATGCATCTTCCTTTCTAATATAAGCCTAATCTATTCAGTTAATACTAGAACAAGAACAGTTCATACTGTGAACGGTTAGAATATGTCCATCTGGCTTCACGCATCAGAGCCTATAGAGCAGCTGTCCCTAACCTGAATCCCAGCTTAACTCTCTGAACATTCAGCAAGGAACACAATGTTTTAGATGCTCCAATCACACTTTCAGCTGTTGTTTTATGTAACAGTGAATTGCCTTGCTTTTCTGCTGTGTAAATGAATCTTGTCCATTACGTGTTGCCTAACAATGAATTAAGAAAGTTGAAGTCAGAATATCAGAACTTGGATTGCTTGCAAGTAAGGATGATTTGCATTTGCTCATTCTGTAAAGATAATGTTGAACAGATTCAGATGATTCCTGTTTTAAAGCTACAGGTTAGGAAGAGGTCTTGATCCACATTAAAAGGAGGGGAGTGGATCCTGATGGGGAAAAGTCTGAAAATCAGTATAGCCCTTCTGCTCAAAGGCTGGGAGCAGTAAAGAAAGGATCTAGTCAGAGACTAGCGAGCAGGAACAGAAAGAGCCAAAAGCCTAGGGGACCTTTGACCATTCAGAGAACATTCACTAGCTTTAATTAGCTGTTCTCTGTCCTATGCTCATTGAGTGTTTGTTCCACCCTCTCTCTGTCCATTCTGCCTCTATTGCTTTAATACTGCTTACTTCATTTGATTCCCTCCACCCAATCTGCCCTCCTTACTCTGTATATCCTTCCATTTCCTGGAAACAGAAGCAAAAGCCACCCCCAAAACAGAACTAGTGTTACATTTACTACAATCACAATGTTTGTGCTGTGTGTGAACTTTTCCCCCATGCTGTCTTATCTGTTTAGACTGCTAGTTTTTATATGACCAGGGACCGTTTACTGCTCTGTGTTTATGCGCTATCCAGCAAAACTGGAACTTCAGTTTTCATTAGTCCTTAGAAGACCTTAAATATGATTAACAATAATATTCCCTTATCCTGCTTTTTTATAAGAAGTTATTTCTCAACAAATGACTACCCTTAATGAGATGAGGTAGATGAGATTTAACAGGAGAAGAGGAACTTTGCTTTTGTTGTTTTTCAGTAGGTGAACTAGTGATTTAAAAGTATAATGTTACAACTGTGGTTATATTATAGTCCAGAATAAAATGATAAACTTTTCAGAATTAATTTTATATTGACTGTTTGCATTGCACTTGCAGTGGTTTGTAAAATGTTGGCTCGTTTCCCATGTTTTACATCTTTTAAATTTGCTTTCTAGAAACCATTTTGGTAGGTGTGGGTTGCTTGTCAGAAATCCCTTCCGAAGCTTGAATGCGAGGCAAGCAGGGTACTAATGATGGATACAAAGGGTTGTCTTCAGGATAACAATGGATGCAGCATCTTCAAAAGCAGTTTCATTCTGGTAAGAATTTGCATACAATTTATTAAACAGTATGTGATAGTTCTCAGTAAAATGAGTTTGTATATCTCTCTGAAGATTTGCCTGATTGTTCAATGAAAATTTCTTCTAAAATACGAAAAGTAGGAGGATGACTCTGCATCGTGCAGTACTTTAAATTCTGAAACAGTGTACAACAACTTTAGTTTACTTAGGAGTGATTTCTGGCATATAAAAATGGTTAGGTATCTTTAGAAAAGTAAGTTATTTTAGAGAAGCAGTTAGTGGCCATTTATGGCCATTGTTCATGAGTCTGTTTCTCTGAATATTTAAAATTTAATATTGTGAACTGCCATTTAAAAAGAACAGCTTTCTTTTGCACTCAGAGTATGTTATAACTAGCCTCTGGTGGCATATTTCACTGTTACACCTATGACTGTTCTAACAGGCATTGCATCTAACTTTGCAGGAGATATGAAACACTTCTGTCATTATTGACAAATTACTCATAGCAGGAAACTTTTAATCGTTGTATAGGTTAAAAAAAGAAGTATAACAGCAGAATGCTAAGTCACTACACTGGTAATACTTTGCTAGAAGCTTCACACCAGTGGAAGTTTTACAGTAACTACAGGATAAGTGGTTCCTTTTAGTTTAGTCTTTGAAACAGCTTAGGCCAATAATTCCTTAAGCAAAAATTCTTGTTTTCACCAAAACCAATTATGTTCTTATCCACATGTATACTGACTTCTTGAAATTCACAAAGAATTTGTCCTTTCTACTCCTTGAATTGCACTGGTGGTTAGTACTGCAGTAGAACTGTTCCAGTAATAGCTGGAAGTTCCTAAAGCTTCTTCTTAAGAATATTTTTGAGGTCCTGAGTATATACTACTTAGTTAAAAAGCAGCACAGGGACTGAGCATTCCTCTGATGAGCTAGTTTCATAGCTGAGGTAGCTGTTCCAGCAGTGAAATTAGAATTTTGACACACCCCCAAAACTCTTAATTTTCTTATGCCATGCTGAAAGCTGTGGTGGCTCAGGAGCTGATTCACAAGCAGATTAGGCATTAATCAGATGGACTAAATTGGTTAGAGGGGTGGTAGTTAATGTCTGAGAGTGGTAACAGCATTTGGTAGACTGCATGCCTGTCAGGAGGCCTTAGCCCTGTGGAGCAGCAAGGATTAGGAGCTCAGGGACATCATTGTGCAGACACAGATACCTCCTATGGGCACCTGATGAGAGCAGCAGAACTGTGGTGTACCCTGGGTGGGGGGAGCAGTGCCAGCCTGGCTGACAGAACCCAACTTACACTGTACTCAGTTGCATGGTACATACATGCACCATAACTTAACAGGTATCTAAGGCAGCAGTAATTGAACCAGGGTATCCTCCTCGCTAAGATACTGGGAGAGGAAAGTACAGAGTGTGCCTGGTAGATGAAATCCAGAGAGGTCTGTGGCCAGATTCCAAAGGCCTGATATAAGTGTACAAGTTAGACCTGAAAAGATTAAGGTAAGCAGTCTCCTCTTTTGAAATTAGATTGGTATGGAAATGACTAATAGTGACTTCTATGCAATATCCCTTTCTGCAACACTCAGCTTTTCATTTTTACTTTCTAGGTGGGTGGGAGATAAAATCTGGCCCTCAAAGTGCTATGCACTCATTTCAGTGCCAAAACGCAAAACACAAATCGGCAACTGTAATGTAAGGGCATACTAGGTTCCTCTAGCTGCACCGGAGAAGTATGAATGCTAGATATGTGAATGTAAGCTTAGATATCTACTTAGATATGTTTATAAGTAGCTTTTTAAACTGCTACGATTCTGTAGGCTATTGTAGTAACTTGGGATGAGGAAGTTAGGCTGTTCACAACATTTTTTGCCAGGCTAATCTTTCATTCTGGTTCACTGCATGGCAAGTGTTTAGTTCTTTGTTTGATCTGTTTAGATTTTAAGCCAACTTCTAGGAAGGAAAAACAAGAAGGGGTGAGCTCTTCTTAAGTTTTAAAACCCCTCCAATTCTGAAGGACAGTATCAATCAAGAAAAACCTAGTTTGCAGTTTCCATGACGTACAGGTATCTTATCTGCACTTGCAGTAGTTATAAAAATCAAGGCTGGAGTGTCTTTTTCTGTTGATCTTTTCTAAGGTGACTGTACTGACTGGTTTTGTTTCAAATAAAAACAGTTAAAACAAGTGATTGACTTGTGAAAGGATTGAGTGACATTTAGTGTCTAATTCCTCTTTTGCTGAATCATTTTTGGGATATTAACTTTATTTCTGACACTTTAGTAGGTGGAACCCTGCGGGGGGAAAATGTTGTAGTTCTTTCACAATTCATTAGTTTGTGGATGTTTCTGTTACGTTGTTTCCACAGCAAATGACTCATGTTAAATGAACATGTCAGCTTAAAGGTGCCCTCAATAGTGCAGCCCACAGTGAAACTTGATGCCGCTGCATATAAAAATGTGGAAGATGCCCAGACCCATTTGAATCCTCAGTAAGTTTGGTGAACATTGGACACATGTGCTATCAATTAGTGTACTTGCTTTCCATCAGGGTACTTGCTTTCAAAAAGCTGTGTTTTACCATGTCTGTTTGCTCTTTCTCACACTGCTGTTCTGATGAGTTTGTAGGCTACATCTGGTGAGTGTTAAGTTGGAACAGAGAAACTGATTTATTTAATAACGTGGCATAGTTGAAATGTATTCTTTTCTGGACTATTTGATGAGAGACTACAGAAGTAACCTGCTTTGCATTGCCACCTGTGTATTTTTTAATGATTTAGACAGACTCAGAAATGCTTTTATTTGGGAAGTTGATAGCACACATCTAATGCCCTACATATTGTGAAAACTATTAATTAGAGTGAACCAGTTGGCCTCTGGTTATCTTACCTATCCTTGAATATTTTTTTTCTTACCAATTTAGTTTTTCCTCATTTAATAAAAATGTGAAAGACAAAACAGATTTACCTATTGACAGCATCACACACATTAACGGTTACACTAAAGAAGCTCCATACCAGAACACTGTAACAAGCAGGTCTTAAACTGGCTCAGGGCTCCAGTCCTACATTTTCTGAGTACGGAGACAGATGGGTACTCACAGCCTGCATTGATTTGTATACTGAAAATATGTATGTAGCTCCATAATTTTTGTTGTCTGGATGACAGACCTGTGGTTTTGATAGGAGTAAGATGGATTGCTGTGACAGACTAGATACAACATACCATGAGTCAGGTACTCTGGCTTTTAAATAACAGTCCTGTTCTGCGTGCATAATACGTAGCAGAGTAGTTTATGCCAAAGTGAACAGATATATCTATATTAAAGAGTGCTCTTTCCATAAATTTTTCACTTAACACTACTCATAGCTGTACACTGGGTGCAAGGTTTCCTGTCTCCTGGCTCATTTTCAGGAAGCTCTTGATGCTCACCTAGCTCTGCTTCCACTGATGTGGAGCTTATCTGTCCATCCCTTGTCTGCTTGCGGCTGCAGGACTGTAGACACATTAATGAAAACTATGTGTACCTATTAACAAAAGTGATGACAATTTCCACAGGAAACACTGGAAGGCAATAAAGTAGCCACTTCAGTCTTGTTTCTAGCACCTCAGACCAAGTCATCTTCTGTCACATAAGGATGCCTCACTGAAAGAGTATAAAAGGTATAAAAATATGACCGTGCTACTGTTGCAGCTGCAAGTGGTGTTGAAGTGTAAGCAGGGAGAGGAAGGAGGTAGCAAAATGAAAATACATCAGAAACTGTGGCTCTGGCCAGGCTGATGTGTTGGAGAGAACGGGGTGTACCTAGGTGCAGAGGGTGGTATCTCTGCATGTGTACAGGCCTTCCTGTACACATGTGCCTTTAATAACACCAGATAGCAGCAGCAAGCCAGAAATGAGGCATACTGGTATATTCCACCTCTACAGGAGTAAAAGCTGCCCCAGCAGCTTGTTCACGTGTGTCTTCTCTGTTCTGAGTCTGGGTTGTCAAGATCCTTCCTTCATTTCCCAGGAGAGATCCTGGCATCTCATAGTGTATGCTGCAGCATGTACAGTGAGTCCTGCTCCCACTTGACCACCTGTTGCTTTCCTGTACTGTGTGATGGAGATAGGCAGTTCGGAGGGCAAGTTCAGGGGCTGGGCTTTGAGGTCTTATTGGAGTTTCTATGAGCACAGACAGCCGTGATGTCAGGCGCTGAAAGTACTGGCCTGTTCCCGTTCCTGTCGGGTCCTTCCGTCCCTTTCTCCTGGGGTGGCGGGTTTTCCCCTGGCTCCGGACACGAGTACGCTCAGGTGGCCTCAGGTGCTTCCCTGGGACATCGCACCCGAGTCAAGCGTTGCCTGATCCCGCCGGCAGCGCGATCGGGGAAGCTGCCTCCGTCAGGGTGAGCAGGGCTTCTCCGCGGTGCCCCGGGCCAGCTGCAGCGGCCGAGGCTTTTCGTCCCGCAGCGCGGCGCCCCCGCGGCTTTAGGACCCGGGCGGGCGGCTCCTCCCCGCGGCAGCTGGGGGCGGGGGGGCGCGGCGGCGAGCGGCCCTTTCCCGCCGCGACAGCTGCTGCGCGCTCCCCATTGGCTGTCCGCGCGGGGCTCCGCGGTGTGCGCCCCTCCGTGCGGGCCCGGTCCGCCCCGCGGCAGCTGCGTCTGCGGCCGTGGGGAGCCCTGGGGGGTGCTGCCTGCCTGTGGCACCGCCCGGTGGCACCGCCCGCTGCCGCCGCGGGCTCCCGTCCCCTGCCTGCTGCCTGCCTGCTCCTGCAGTGCAGCGCGGTGTGGCTGTCGGCTCCACGCACCTGGAGCTGCCCTTACCGTGCGTGAGAACTGTGCTGCCACAAACGGGCTTGCGCTTGGGATGCTCTTGTGCCACTGCTGTATTTCTGCTAATGCCATGGCACGCCTTTCTAACGCGGATGGGAGCGCCCAGAGTCGTTTCGTGCTGGGGAATTACATGTGCCCTGTGCAATTGTGGGCTGTATGCCAGAGGGGGGACAGGTTCCTGCCTGCAGCTTTTGTGTACCCTGGG